CATTTTAATATCAATTAAGGCCTTAGTTTTATTTTGAAGAATTTAATGCCTTTTAAGACTTTTTAAGGACCTGCGGGAACCCTGTTTAATGAACATGACTTTCAAATAAATCCTCTTCTGCTGTTACCAAAAAATATCTACTATATTGATAAAGACATAGCTAATAGCTCCACCTGTCCTTCACCTGCAGGGCTGTCAGATCTACGATTCCAACTTAAAATAAGATGAAAATCCACCGCCTCAATAAAAAGAAATGAAAATAAATAAATTCTTCTGAAGCTTCGGCTAAAACCACGGACCTATGAAACACCTGATAGAGAATACAGAGCTGCGCTATAGTCACTACTAGGCTCCGCTAACAGCAGTTAGCTTTGGATCATCATCTGAAACAGCAGCAATCTACGATCTAAGCTCCACATGAGCTGCAGCTGCTAATTTTAGCGTTTTACCAAACGACTCTTTCAATGAGGGAACAGAAGAAAAAAAATACATCCTTCTGAAAATGTTTCAGGCAAAGAAGAGAAACAGTGCAGAGCTTCTGACCTGCTTCATCCACTTTGAAAGCAGCTGCAGATCCTCAGGAAACTTTAACGTCACTGCTGTTTCCTCCCTCAGTCACCGAGCGGCGCTAGAGTCACTGAATGGCAGGTTTTTTTTAAATAAAACTAAGGATAGTTAAAACTATTGGCATTTCTGTCTACAAAAACCCCTACAGAATGTCAATAACGAAATTTATCCTGGAGATGTTGTTTAGGTGATAGGAAGCCGACTTTGTTCCCGTATGTTTGAACCTCTGAGTCTGTTGCTGCATCCAGATTTAGATCCCGATGGTTTCTAACTGGGTCGACTGAAGCTACGACGTACCTCTGATTCCTCCGAACCAGTAGGGGGAAGCGCACAGCCGTACATTCTGGATGCTTCCGCTGTTAAATAGATAAAGAAGAAGAAATATGAAACACATGACTGGATGTTCAGTGGGAGGAGCCGCTGAGTTCAGGTCTATCAGTTCTGGTTCTGATCCGAAGCGCTGCGTTTCCAGACCTTGGAGCTGTCTGCGGGGTTTCCTCTTCAGCCGAGGCCCGATGCCCTGTCCTTCCTTCCAGCCCATTTTGGTCAGCAGCTCTATGCCGATGGACGACCTGGGAGCAGAACCGACAACCTTCAGCCGTTATAACACACCGAACCAATGAGCAGCGCCGGATCCTACCTCGCTGGTGAGATGAGCTCCTCCAGCAGCGTGTCTCCGGGGATCAGCGCTGCCTGAGCGCTGATGGCTTTGGCCTTTTCCGCCGCCTCGTCTCTGCGGCTGGAGGAGAACTCCTTACTGGTGGTGATCTCTCTGGGAGCGATGCCGTGCTCGCTGAAATCCTGACAACAAGCAGCAGTTCTCTGTCATCTTGGGATCAAACTCTCCGTAAAGCCCGGTTCTGGTTCTGCATCTGTCCGTCACTCCTGTCCTCTACCTGCTGCTCTGCCTCACAGGGAAGCTTTATCTATTTATCATCAGGGTTTTACCTCCTCGTCCATGAAGTCCTCGGGTCGGGCATGTTGCTTCTCAGCTTTCTGTTGCCGTGACGACACAAAGGTTGAAGGAGTCCAGCCTAAATTACAAAGATATCAGAAAAACTAGGAGAAATTAATGTTTGGCTGATTTTATTTCATCAAATAATCCATAATCAGAGATTAAACCTTCAGGATTTATTATCATCATATTTTCAGGATTCAAACAAACTCTCTATCTGTATAAAAGAACAAAGAACACGTTATATAATAAACCTGTTTTATTCATTTTCATTGATTCCATTCCTGTGGTGGGAAACAGACTCGGTCATGCAAGGCCTGCCTTCAACAAACATCCTGTAATAATTAGGGATGCAGGATATAATCGGCCTTAAAACTGAATATCGGACATCGGCCACCCCACCGATATTTAACCCGATATTTGCTTCTGAGTTTCTAAAGTCTAAAAACAAAATAATACTTCTTCTTCTT